ACTACTACTACTACTATACGACTACTACTACTACTACTACTACTACTACTACTACTACTACTACCCGTACTACCCGTACAACCCGTACTACTACTACTACTACTACTACTACTACTACTACTACTACTACTACTACTACAACTACAACTACTACGACTACGTTACGACTACGACTACGACTACGACTACGACTACGACTACGACTACGACTACGACTTCGACTACGACTACGACTACGACTACGACTACGACTACGACTACGACTACGACTACGACTACGACTACGACTACGACTACTACTACTACTACTACTACTACTACTACTACTACTACTACTACTACTACTACTACTACTACTACTACTACTACTACTACTACTACGATTCGGATGCTGACACATGTGTATATTCTCCTTGCTCCGACACTTCGCCGTTCCACCCATGGGGCGAATAATTCGCAACCAAAACTGGGAGTTTGCAACTTCCAATCCAGGACGAGTCGCTATGTCATTTTACAACCAGCACGCGTCAGGCAGCGAAGTGCGTTCCTTAGGTGGGTCGACGGAGATCTGGATTTGTATGAAGATCCTGTTCACGTTGATTTTATTTGCATGATTGGGAAATGCCTTTTCTGGTTGTGAAGTGACCTTCCGGGGAAGCCTCTGCTGGTTGGAAAATCCCCCTTCTGATTGGAAAGAGCGGTCGTGTTTGTAAAGGGACGCGCACGCCCCAAGACACCGCCAAGAGGTCCTAAGAGGCACCCCCAGAGACACCCGAGGCGGCGCAAGAGGCCTCTGCGAGAAGGCCCAAATCATGGATTTGACTAAGGGCTTGGCCACAATTTGGCCTCCTGGGGGGGGCCCACATCAAGGAGCCGCTATTATTTGATCGATCTCCTTCTGACGCAAGAGGCCCCCGGGACTGCCCAGAGACCCCCAAGACGCCCCAAGAAGACTCCCAAGAAGCTCCCGAGAGAAATCCGAAGAGATCCCGAGAGGTGCCCAAGAGTCTTTTGGCCTTTCAGCTCGCCTTCCTCCTCCTCCTCCTCCTCCTCCTCCTCCCCCTCCCTTTCCTCATCCGCCTGTTCCTCTGTCTCTCTCCTCCCTCAACGATGAAACAATACGAATACTACTCTCCTCTCTCCCCTGGTGGCGTCCAGGGATTGTTCGCCCCCCCCTCCGCGTACTGTGTTTTTTGCGCACAAGATTCCGAAGGGTTGAGTTTTCGCTTGGTTGTGTTTTTCTAAATGCTGCTGCTGGCTTCATTTTCGGGCTACCGCTCGTTCCGAATCGTGCTCCCGCTGCAGCGCTGGCCTCATTTCCGCGCTTCCGCTCGTTCCGAATCGTGCTCCCGCTGCAGCGCTGGCGTCATTATTTCCAGCGCCATGCCACGGTATGGTTTCTGGTCCTTCGCAGAACCCCCCCCTACACACTTTCGGGCGTCGCCACGCCATGCCATACCAGGCTACGCGTCCTCCGAATCGTGATGCCGCTGCAGCGCTGGCCTCATTTCCGCGCTTCTGCTCGTTCCGAATCGTGCTCCCGCTGCAGCGCTGGCGCCATTACTTCCAGCGCCATGCCACGGCATGGTTTCCGATCCTTCCAACTAGGCTCCAAAATCTAAAATTATCCTGGCGAAGGACCCAACCATATGCAGTTGTGAATACTGCAACTGCAGAAGAGCTCCCTATGGGGCCACAACACGAATGAGGGGTGTGCCAAAATGGGGCGGCGCCGCCATGCGGGCTGCGCCACTGGGACCCTAGATGGAGCTCCCTGTGGGGCCACGAAACGTGTGAGGGGTGTGCCAAAAATGGGGCGGCGGCGCCATGCGGGCTGCGCCACTGCGACCTTAGGTGGAGCTCCCTACGGGGCCACGAAACGTGTGAGGGGTGTGCCAAAATGGATCGGCGGCGCCATGCGGGCTGCGCCACTGGGACCCTAGATGGAGCTCCCTATGGGGCCACGAAACGTGTGAGGGGTGTGCCAAAGTGTGGGTTTGGGGGGTGACGGGAGGAGGGAGGAGGGGGAAGAGGAGGAGGAGAGGAACGCGTGAACCGTCTCTTCAAAACGAGGACCCAACACCACAAGATGGTTGGGAAACCGAGCCAGATGCAGTTGTGAATACCGCAACTGCACAGCTCCCTATGGGGCCACAAGACGTGTGAGGGTGTGCCAAAATGGGGCGGCGCCGCCATGCGGGCTGCGCCACTGGGACCCTAGATGGAGTTCCCTGTGGGGTCACGAAGCGTGTGAGGGGTATGCCAACATGGGGCGGCGGCGCCATGCGGGCTGCGCCACTGCGACCTTAGGTGGAGCTCCCTATGGGGCCACGAAGCGTGTGAGGGGTGTGCCAAAACGGAGCCGCGGCACCATGCGGGCTGCGCCACTGGGACCCTGGATGGAGCTCCCTATGAGACCACGAAACGTGTGAGGGGTGTGCCAGAATGGGGCGGCGGCGCCATGCGGGCTGCGCCACTGCGACCTTAGGTGGAGCTCCCCGTGGGGCCACGTAACGTTTGAGGGGTGTGCCAAAATGGGGCGGCGGCGCCATGCGGGCTGCGCGCCACGAAACGTGTGAGGGGTGTGCCAAAGTGTGGGGGGGTGACGGGAGGAGGGAGGAGGGGGGAGAGGAGGATGAGAGGAGGAACGCGGGGACCGTCTCTTCAAAACGAGGACCCAACACCACAAGATGGTTGGGACAAATCCCCCCGAAACTACCATCGGAAGTGATTACACATTCGGTGTCGATTCCTTGATTTTTTGAGGTCGCCCCCGCACTTCGGGGCGTCGCCACGCCATGCTATGTCTGGCTACGCCGACGCGTTGATCTTCAACACCATGCTATGCCATGTAATGCTATGCCCTGCTACGACATCTGACTGTGCGAATAGAGAGGAGATCTACGCTATGGTAAGGGATGGGAGGGAGGGGTCGGACGTCAGATATGACGCGAACGCACCTAGCTTGTCCCCCTGCCCCTCTCCCTACTGCACCTCCTTCAGCTCCTCCTCCTCCTGCTCCGATTCCTCTTCCATCCTCCACCTCTTGGGGTACGCCGTCTCACCCAGCCCATCATTTGACCGCACGTTGCTCCACGTCCCTGATCGGGTCGTTTCGTCTGGGCATCGATCCTGCATGGGCCGGTGGGGCTGCGCGGAGCGTCAAGAACGTGCTATCAGCCAAGGCAGTTCGGCATGAAACGCGCCAACTTTCGAACTCATGGGAATGATTCAAGGGGCCCAAGGACACACAAATAAATACAGGCGGGGCATTGACTTAAGGAACCCCAAAGAAGGAACGAGACCCTTCTTTCCCATAAGTCAGAAGTCGACTTCCCATCGAAGACCTAGGGAAAACCAAAGGCAAGCTGTGAAACAATCAGGGAACACGGAGCCCCTCCCCAACGAAAAGGGTTCCTTCTTCAGCGCCCCGACTGTAGACACCAACAACATGATCCCCCCTATTTTCCCATATGTTCTGGGGTTTTGTTTGTCTTCCCCCCCACTTCCCATAGTTTCCTATATTTTCCTGGGAGTCGACGATTCAATGTTAAAGGGGCCCCAGGACACACAAATAAATACACACTAATAAACATATGCCCCATATTTTCCCAGATTTTCTGGGTTTTTGCTTTCCCCCCCACTTCCCATATTCTCCCATCTTTTCTGGGGAGTCGAGGATTCGTTGTGTCTGTGTGTTTTTTCCTCTCCTGAATTGTGTCTGTGTGTTTTCTCCCTCCTGAATGATGGCAATGGGGGCCTCCGCGACGCAGCAGCTGACCCGGGCGGAGGGCGCGCCGCGTGCTCCTGGAACGGCCAGGGGGCCGACCCTCCCACGACCCGACTTGTGACTTGCACCGGCAGCGCCACGGGGAAGATTCGGGAGCGGCCAGGAGGGGGACGTCCGAGAGGGGGGGCCCAGATGGTCTGGTACCGGAAATTTTCGGTAGCGATTTCGACGCACCCCGAATTTCGGTAGCGACCGGATCTTCGTTTGAGGGCGTTGAAATAGCGGATTTCAGAACGGTCTGATACCGGTATTGGGCGCTACATTTCGGTATTTCGGTAGCGACCGATCTCTGCGGAGCGCTACCGGAAATTTTCGGTAGCGGACCATCAGGGGGGTGCAAATCATGGCCGGCGGCATGTGCGCGGCCCAGGGGGGGGGGGCCAGGGACGTAATGAAATAAGAAGGGGCGCCATGCAATCTGCGGAAACATCATGGCCCACGCCACGATATCCACCCCCCCCTAGTCATCACCCCCCTCTGTGCCGCACCCGAGAAGATCGGCCAGCTCGCTTTTGGAGGGCGCCGGCAGCTCACTTGAAGATGTCGAGGTCGTCGAAGGCGTTGCTGGAGGACTGGGCCGGCCTCGGGGGGGCGCCAACAGCATCGGAGCGATGGGTACGATGCGCCCGAGGGGGGTGCACGGATTGCTTCAGTGGCTCATGAAACGAGCGTCACTCTCTTGCCAGACTACATGCCCTAAGACGAGCGGAGCCGGGCCGACATGGAGCCCCCCCCTGCTGGCGAGTGGCGACGGGTCAATCGCGTTCGCGCTGGAGGCCTGCACAGACCCTGCAGGAGGTGCGCAGCCCAGCCGACGGGGGCGCCTTGTCGGCGTGGCCCCAAGCCCTTGCTGCTGCTCGCATCGTGGTGCCAATCGACGACTCATACTTTTGGCGAGCTTCGGTTAGCCAAGCCCGCGCGCTATCATTAGGGAAGGGAAACTCATTCTATACACCGACGCTCTGTCTGGCCCTGTGCCTGTACTCTGATTTGCGGCCATGAAAGCGGATCCTGGTGTATACGGAGCCCTGGTGTATACATGTTCCGCTGCTTCGCCGAGAAAGTGGGGAACAACAAGTATACACCACACCACCCCGACGTCGTCCCCGACACTCAAAAAGTCCTGGGATTGAAAAGCAGCCTGCCGCTTGTTATGCATATGCTCCAGCTTCCGACTCATTGCACCTGCGACCATCCGAGCTAGGCGCTCGAAAGGAGAATGGGGGAGAGGTGGCGTCGAGGGGAGGGCCACCCGTCTCGCATGCCCCGCCCCCCAGACCCCCGACGTCGTGATCTTTGTCGCAGCGTCGACCCCCAGAGGTCTGGACCCCTTCCCAGGGACCGGCTTTTCATCGTTCACGTTTTCTTCTTCGGTGTTTCGACATTGGGCGGAAAAGGGGGGGGAGGCTCCGACCCTCTGCTCAGTGCGACTGTCTGCACCAGTGCGTCCTGCGGGGGAGGCCCCGCATGCTCGAAACAGGCGCCGGAAGCCAGCCACGATCTACTCCACGGGGGGGGGAGGGGAGGGGGGGGGGGGCGAGGGCCCGCGCCGATCGGCAAGACAACGAATCCGAGAACGATCACTTCCCGGGGACCGGTTGTTCTCCTCCCGCGCCGTGCCCAGACCCCCGACGTCATGATTTTTTCATGACGCGACTTCCAGAGGTCCCGACCCATTCCCCGGGACCGGTTTTTCGTTCTGAATCGTTTTTTGACGGTCCCGAGGCCCGGTAAGGGGTGCCCGGAGCGCGCCGGGAGCCCTGGGAGCGCCTGGGAGCACCTGGGAGCGCTTGGGAGCGCGTGGGAGCGTGCCGGGAGCGCCTGGGAGCGCATGGGAACGTGCCGGGAGCGCTTGGGGGCGCCTGGGAGCGCCCGGCAACGCCTGGGAGCGCCTGGGGGTCTCTGGGAGCGCCTGGGTCCCCAGAAGCCGAAAATGGCGAAAAACCTTCCGTCGTGATTTTTTCGCAGCGCGAGGGGGTCTGGGTGGCTCGGCGGCTCCCGAGGCCCGGCAGGGGGGCCCCCGGAGGCCGGAGAGGGCGAGGAGCCTGCCGTCGCGGTGCTGTCGCAGCGCCAGGGGGTCTGGGCCTCGGCCCCCCTCCGTCGCCTACCTCCCCAGACCCCCTCGCGTTGCGAAAAAATCACGACGGGAGGTTTTTCTCCATTTTCGGCCTCTGGGGGGCCCTTACCGGGCCTCGGGACCGTCAAAAAACGATTCAGAACGAAAAACCGGTCCCGGGGAATGGGTCGGGACCTCTGGGAGTCGCGTCATGACAAAAATCATGACGTCGGGGGTCTGGGTCTGAAGGGGCTGAGGACACACAACTAAACACACACACACACACAAATCCCAAGACTCCCCATATCGTCAGTAGCTTCTGGGATTCTCGTCTTCCCCCCACTGCCCCTGCTTTTTCCCACCCCTGCCGGGGAGTCGACGATCCATGGTGTCTGCGCGCTGCGGCTTCCTCCGGCTTCCCGGGGCTTGCTGTCGCCTCCATGTGCTTCCTGGTGAGACCTGGCGCCTCCTTGGGTGTTTCCTGGAGCCTCCTGGGGCCTCCTGGGACCACCTGGGGCCTACAGGTGCCTCCTGGAACCTCCTGGGGTCTCCCCTCCCGAGCCTCTCCCGCCCGCGAACCTCCTGGGGTCTCCCCTCCTGAGCCTTGCCCCCCCGCCTCGCCCTCCCGCTCTCGCCCCCCCTCGGCCCCTGGGAGGGCGGGCGGGCGAGCCCGCCAGGGGCAGGCCCCGGGCCTCGACAGGCCCAGATGGGGGGCGGTGCCTCGCTCCCGGGGCCCGCGCGCAGGGCCGCAGGGGGGTCGAGGCGTCCTCCTCCTCCTCCTCCTCCTCCTCCTCCTCCTCCTCCTCCTCCTCCCTTTCCTCCTCCTCTTCTCCCCAGAAAACCCTCCCCCTTTTCCTCCTCCTCCTCCTCCTCCTCCTCCTCCTCCTCCTCCTCCTCCTCCTCCTCCTCAGCCCCGCTCGGCCGCAGCCGCGGGAAGAGAAGCAAAGGGGCTCGGTCCTCCACGCCAAAGGTCGACCCTGCCCTGGCCGTCGCTCGGACGTCCACTTCCCGTGCATTCTTCGGTTTCGTGCGCGTTTGGTTTGCTCGATGGTCCAGGATGGTCCTCGAGGGTTCCCGTCGATGAAAAATGCACACGCCCGTGCATTTTTCTGTATCGTGCGCGTGCATTTTTCCCGGTGTCCCTTTCTCGTGCAGTTTTCGGTGTCGTGCGCGTTGGTTTTGCTCGGTGGTCCAGGATGGTCCTCGAGGGTTCCCGCCGATAAACAATGCACACGCCCGGGCGATGCCGAGTGCCAGGTCAAGGGCACCCTTTTGGCGCCCCGCACTGCGCGGCCGGGGCCCTCTGCCCTCTGCATTCCTGCGGCGGGGTGGCCCTCGGAGGGCGTGTCCTCTCCAAACAACCCCGACTGCAGCGTGTCGCCCGGGCGGCTGAGCGCGCGCGCGGGCGCGCGCCTCCCCCTCCCCCCCCTTGATCTGGCAGGGCTCCCAACTTCGCGCTCGCGCGCTGCGCGAAGCGCGAGGTGCGAATCACTTCGCGCTCTCGCGCCGCCTCCCAGGGGAGAAGAGGAGGATGCGGAGGGATCGGAGCCGAAGCGCGAAGCGCGAGTAGCTTCGCGCCCTCGAGGGCGCCCTTGAGGAAAAATATGTGTCTTTTGTCCTTCACCTTTAAATTGACTCAGGTATGGTGTCCAGAACGGTGAATTGATCCTGGCCGCTCTGTTTCTCAACGCAATGGAAGCAAACGGAATTCAAACATGCGATTTCTACTTGAATATGCCGCGCTCTCTAGCACATGTCTGCCAAAAACACGCGTGCGTGTGGAAGGGGGAGAGGGAGGAGAGGGCAAGCAAGCAAGCGAGTCGTACACCAAGCGGTGCGTGGACAGGGCAGGAACAGTATGCTACAAAGCTGTGAGAATGTGACGGCGCAGCGTGTGCTTCCAAGCGGGGCAGGAAAGGGAGGGGGGGGGGCAGGAAAAATGGGGGAGGGGAGAGGGGGAGAGGGGAGAGGGAGGAGAGGGAGGAGAGGGAGGGGGCAGGAAAAATGGGGGAGGGGAGTGCGAGCATCCCTCGGTCGGCAGAAGTGGGCAGAAACCTGAGGCAGGAAGGCGCCGGACGCAGATCTGGTCCCCGCCCGCCCCCCGAAAGAGGAGGCGAGAGGGACCACCGCTCGACTCTTGACGAAAAGGAAGGCGCCTGAAGTCGAGTGGGATCTGAATATCCAAGAACACCCAAGACGAACGTACATGACAGCATCCCCGCAGTGGGCCAACGGCCGATCGGAAAGAATCGAACACTGTGTAGATTGCACCGAACGGGGCGTGCGAGTAGAGGCCTCCTAGATGGGGTCCGAGTGGATGGGGCCGGAGGATCTCGCCGCATCGCCGATACATCGGCGATGCATTGCTGATGCATCGGCCATGCACCGGCGACGTCGGCGATGCATCGGCGACGTCCGCGTGAAGAAAATCGGTCTCCACATCGAGCCGCATTGGCGATGCATCGGCGATGCGGCGCGATCCTCCGACCCCATCTACTCCGACCCCATCCAGGAGGCCTAGAGCGAGATCACCAGCAGGTGACCGAAGAAAGAGCTCGCTGTGAGCAGGCCGAGGCCCGAGGAGCAAACATTCTTGTGGGAGGCGGAAGCGGGAGAACCCTGCCAGGCAAGTGGTCGGCCCAGGGCAGAAGGCCATCTTTCAAGAGCATGAGTCCCTCCGCCGGCCAGACCAAAGAGCACTCGAAGGGCATCCTCCCCCACGGTGCACGAAGAGCATCAGGGTAGGTACCCTCGCCGAGCCGACCTCGACCTTGTGCCTCGATCCGACCGTGGCAGACAGCGCGCAACATCATGGCGGGAGCAGAGAGCCAGGCAGAGAAGAGCATGCACGGCGGGCTTTGGCGGCGCCGGGGCTGCAAAGCCCAAGTAGGACGGCTGCTGCGGCGGCGACGCCTCCCTCGGAGCACACCGCCGGGCGTTGCGTGCCAGCCCTGCTTCTCGTGCAGCGGAGAGCTCGCGAGACCGAATCCGACACCAATGCTGTCATAGCTTGAAGGCATGTCCGTCATCCTTCTTTCTTCCCGCGCTCCTGTTCTGACTCATGCTTCCAACCTGGCCCTGCTGCTGATACAGCAGGAGCCCGACCACAAGGAACCTTCCACAAGAAACCCAACCCTGACACCCCAGGACGTCCATTGGTTTGCGGTGTGGGAACGCCACGCTTTCCACAGCAGAACCATCTAAACCCGGGGCACCCTGGAGGCAGGCAAGCAGGGTATCTCTTGGCATGGGCTCCCACTGTGCTGTCTCACTCCAACGCGCATCCTGCCCATCCCCACCCCCACCGTTCGTCCTCACGACCTGCCGCACCACCAGTTTCATCGCTCTCCTCCTCGTTCCCACGACCCGCTGCTGCTCGCCCAGCCTCTTCCTCCCTCCTCCTCCTCCTCCTCTTCCTCCTCCTCCTCTCCTCCTCCTCCTCCTCTCCTCCTCCTCCTCCTCCTCCTCCTCCCCTCCTCTCCTCTCCTCCTCCTCCTCTCCTCCTCCTCCCTCCTCCTCCTCCTCCCCTCCTCCTCCTCCTCCTCCTCCTCCTCCTCCTCCTCCTCCTCCTCCTCCTCCTCCTCCCTCCTCCTCCCCCTCCTCCTCCTCCTCCTCCTCCTCCTCCTCCTCCTCCTCCTCCTCCTCCTGCTTGCCTGGTCCTCGGCCTCGTGCTCCGGCTGCTCCCGAGCCTCCTGGGCTTCGTCCTCGTCGTTCCTGCTCCCCCGCCTCTCCCCCCTCGGCCTGTCCACCAGCGGAGCCACACGCCACCCAAACTGGTAGACGATAGGGAGGGACCTCGGGGAGCAGAAGCTCGGCCAGAAAGAAAGAAGCTCGCTCACGCGTGCTGGGAGGGATGCCCACTTGAAGAACACCCCAGGGGACCGTTCTCACCGAATCTCTACCGCCGAACTTGCTGGAGACGTTCGGTCTGGTCACACTCGCGGACCGGACAAACGGTTCCTACCTGTGCCTGTCAGCGCATTTGTGTTATGTGAATTCGTATGTCCCTGTTTGCCTGGCCTGCCTGTCTATGTTTGTCGGTCTGTCTCATTCACGCTCTGTCTCTCTCTTTTTTTCTATATAGTTCACTGTGGTTCACTCTCTCATTCTCTCTCTCTCTCTGTTTCTCTCTCTCTCTCTCTATCTCTCTCTCTCTCTCTTTTCCATGCTTCTGTCTGTCTCTCTGTCTGTCGGCCTCTATTGGTCTGCCTCTCCACCTGTCTGTCTCACCCACTCACTCACTCTCTCACTCACTCTCTCTCTCTCTCTTTCTCTAGCTCTCCCGTTCTCTGGCCGCTCTCTGGAATCAGATTCCTCTCCCGCGGTCTCTCTCTCTCTCTCTCTCTCTCTCTCCCTCGCTCTCCCTCACTCTCTCTCTCTCTCTCTCTCTCTCTCTCCGCACAAGCGTGCTTTCCCGTCGCACATTTGAAGCGTCTTGGCACGAGCCCTCGCCGACGAGCTACGCATCCCTTCTGCCTGCACGGCGGCCCTTGCCCCCCCTATGGTGCGAGGGACAGCCCGGGCGTGCACCGTCCGGTGGCAGCTCATGGGAGCCTCCCATACCATCTTGTCAGCTCTTGCGGATCGAAGCTAATCGACGCTAGTCGACGCTCATCGACGCTAAATCGACGCCCATCGCTAAGCGGCGCTGGTCGACGCTAAGGACGGAATTCAAGAGGGTATACAAGGCTCCCATGGTTTGCTACCGAACGCGCACAGCCCCCCTGCGCCCTCCCCCACAGCGCGTGCCATCCGCCCGCGCCCCGTCCTTGGAGGCGGGGATCCCGAGCCCGGCGTTGATGTTGGCAAAGGGGTCCGCCGATGCCGCGGGCGCCACCTCCGGAGCTGCTGCGCGCAGAGAAGAGAGGCCGCGCCTGCTGTGCCCGCGGCATCGCTGAGAACTGTGCAGCCCTCATCCGTGTCGCCGCGGCTTGCGATGCCGCCCAGATTGCCACGTCCACGCTCGACACAAGGACGAGGATCTAGGATGAAACAATGCGTCCCGGAAGAGCTGGACTCGTCCCGAATGGCCGCCAAAGGACTGAGCTATGGCCCAGAACCAGTTCCTCACTTCTCCTCCTCCTCCGCCCGCTCCTGCTTTTCCACCTCCCTCCCCTCTCATTCCTTGTTGTTCCTCCTCCTTCTCCGCATCTCCTTCTCATCGCATTCGGCCTCTCTCCTCGCTCTCTCCTCTGCTGGTCCTTCTTCCACAGTGGTCGGCACTTGTAGCGCCGTTGCAACCAGACGGAACTCCAGTCCGCCGACCACATTTGCTTGGAAATGGCAAGGCGCGTAAATCATTCGGGTGTGCCGCTCGCCCTGTGTCCCCAAACCCCCAGGTTAGTTTCGTTGACCGCCACGCGATCCCCCATGACCCAACGCGAAAAACCTCACCCACAACCCAGGCACGGTGGCGGGATGGGCGTTCCTGGGGCTGTGGGTTCCTCTCGGACGGCCGCCGGAGGAGGGCAGAGGTACGGCCCGAATCACAGACTCAAACGTTGTTGTTCCTCCTTCTCATCTTGTTCGTCATCCTCCTCATCCTCCTTGTCCCCCTCCTCCTCCTCCTCCTCCTCCTCCTCCTCCTCCTCCTCCTCCTCCTCCTCCTGCGTCTCGTCCTCACTCTGCGTCTCGTCGTCCTCCTCCTCAATCTTCTCAGCGCTCCCCTTCTCATCGTACTCGTCGAGCCCTCTCGCTCGCTCTTCTTTTGGCCATCCTTCCATGGACTTCGGTTCGTGCAACGCCATTGCTGACTCGAGTTCTCCGTCCTCCTCGTCAACCTTTTGTCAGCTTTCTCTTTCTCATGTTATTCGTCCTCACGTTCGCTCCCTCCTCTCCTGGTCCTGCTGGCACCGACTTCGGTACGCGTGACGCCATTGTTGAATCGATTCCAAAGCTGTCCACTTGAACGGGCATCAGCTGCACGCCTTGCACTTTATGGTGCATTTTCCCGTCGCGCGCAACATGGCTACCCGACCCGGATAATGCCGACTTCGGCCGTTTTTGTTGGCTCGCACCGCTGCGCCGATACCCCTGCCAGCTGCGCACCCTGAGCCCGAAGCCCTTTTTGAACTCTGCGCACACCACGCGCACCTGTTCCTCCTTCCTATGGCGTTCTACTCGTTCGTTCGTCAGATGTTTCGTGTCCGACAGAATTCCCCCGCACGCAGTGCATGTCTCGCGCCGCCTTGTCGCATCGGCGACTCCCTTCGCGGTGATGCTGCGCTTGCTACAACCCCCCAGACTACAGTGTCGTCTTTCTTCTTTCTGCGGTCCTTCACTTGGCCGCGGCTCGAATGGCAGCCCTCCCTGAAAGTCACCCCGCACTCTGGCGCGCAGCACTTCAGCGGCTCCACATCTGCCGTTGCTTTTCGTTTGCGATTGTTGCTTTCGCGCGCCCACTGATCGCGCCACTCTGCGCATCTCCGACAAGGCTTCTCCCCAGCTGCGTTGCGCTTATTCTGCGCCTCCGAAGTGTCCCCATTTTCGTCGAACAGCGCCTGGCAGTGCCCGTTTGAACAACAGATTGCCAGTGTCGTTCCACGTTGCTTGCGGCGTGAGTCTGCTGCGGTTTGGCATGGTTGGACCTCGCGCGATACGCGGCCCGAATTTTCTTCGGCCCCTCCGCGTCGCCAGCCGCCGCGCCAACGTGCCGGGTCGCGCACGCCTGGTCGCTCCAGCGCCGCGCCCGCCCGTTCCTCCCCCGCGCGCTTGCAAAAATTGTTGCTCGTCTTGCACCACTTATGGCTCGCGCATCTAAGGGCCGCCGTGCTTTGTTTACAAAGCGCTGGCCCATCTTTCTTCTGGAACACGTACTTCACGAGCGCCACTACAAGAAGCCTACGCCGGCATCGTTCGCGCGGGTCTCGCGGCTCGAATTCCGCCCCCCACACTTCCCGATCCACATCTTCTCGTCGGAGCACCAGCAACTGTGGCATCCTATCAAAAGCTAGAAAAATCAACGGGTCTTCTCGCATTCGCACCCGCGCGATGGCAACGTAATTTGACCGACATCCAACTCACGCCGCGCCCTCGTTCAAGATCCGCTATAAGCGCGCCCGTGGTTCGTCCTTGCTCGGCGTGCGCCGTGACTGCCAACGACGGAATGATCATGCACTGCGCGCGCCTCGCACCCAACACGAGATGCTTCCGATAACGGCCCATGAAGCAGAGGGGCCCCTGTGATGGGAAGATCGGGTACAGCCCTGGCCCCCAGACTGGCAGGCGCCATCCCTTCGCGCGGAAGTCTGTCACAGTGAGCAAATTCAATGACATCTCCTTGTCGTCATCTCCCACGACCTCGTCCCCGTGCAACGCCCATCTTTGAATCGTCACTG